AATCGATCAGATCATATTCAGCTCAATCAATTAGTACATGCCAACTATGTTCAGATTAACCAAACACATTTAAATTATTTATTTTCTGATCTGAAACTTTGTAAGGAAAAATGCTGACCTGTCTTGCTCCTCTAAACTTCTCTTTTTGTTTTCCAAAACCTACGTGTGAAACACTCACACGCTAAGTCTATGACTTAGTGAGGCATTAAACACAATAAAGTAACTTTAATTACTTAATCATGTATGAACATATCATATCATGCTATTACACAAAACAATATAGCATTTCATGTAATCAAATGTACACATATACACATCATCATATCAATCATATAATACAATTCATATCACAAAAGCATATACTTTACATGTAATATATATGTTTATTATTATCTCTCTTTGTTAGCCCATGTACATCTGTGAGAACTGTATATATGTGAGTCTATTGAGGTTGTGCACTATGCTGTCACGACAGCTCGTATGGGGTCCCACTAGGGGCTATGAGATTTGTCCCGAAGGACCTATGTACTGTATTTGTCCCGAAGGACCACTCTTTAAGAACCATATACATATTTCAATGGATCACATATGTGTCTCATAAGACCTTGTAAATGTTCCAAAGAATACATATATGTCCCGAAGGACCACGTAGAACCCTCGACTCTTGGCATGCCAACTATACCTCTAGCTCTCTTTACACATAACATGGGCATTATCAATCTATCATGTCACATATTCACATGTACACTTTCATATCACGTCATATAAGCTCATAGCTTCTTCCACATATATATGTAGTCACATAGCTTCTTTTCATATTCTCATAAGATTACATAGCTTATATCTTATACTTTGTTTTCTCATGTTCACATATATCCTATCATATGGCTCATATATATACATCACATAGCACATACTTCTCATATCATTACATTCAAAAGCATGTTAACACATATAATCATGCATACATATAATTTATGTCATGCATATACGTACAATCATATATTCATGCATTCAACATAGGAAATAGACTTGTCACAAGTCTTGTTTCCATTTAGCACCATAAACGAATTAATATGCACTCACCTGAGCCTCACTAAGTTTCAATCAACTTTTATGATTTTTCCTTTCTTTCGATCGAATCTTAACTTGATGATCGTTCCGGAACTTGTTCGTGTTCGATATCTACATAATCACATATTGATACATATCAGTATCCAATTGATATACTCTAATCTATCATTTCTTAGACTAAAAGAAATGTCTATTTCCATTTCCCCTTGAAGTGCATCGATGCATTCTACAGTGCATCGATGCATTCTTTAACATGTGCATCGATGCACTACCCATGCATCGATACACTACCCATGCATCGATACACAAATTACCCTCGATGTTTCCATTTTAAGGGGATGCATCGATGCACTCCTTATGCATCGATGCACCAATTGCATTCGATGTTTCTTCTTTAAAGAGTGCATCGATGCACATTAAATATGCATTGATACACCTTGCCCAGAATTTGCATTTTAGCACGAAAATCATCAACTCTTCCCTTAATTCTTCTATTTTAAACCTCTAATATGTCATTAAACTCAACTACCATTACTTAAACCAACTTATATCCATATAAATCATCTTTAACCTCAAAATTCTATCTTCCCTAAGAAATTCAAGAATCATACTCAATTTCTAACATGTTCCAAATTCCATTCAATTGCTTCTAACTTCTTAATTAGACCATTGACAAGTCAAATTCAGCTTTAGAACTTCAAAAACCTTTCTATAACAAAAGTCCATTTCTACACCCTTCATATATTTCCTTTTTAATTCTCTATTATTGATGTTTAAAGCTTATATAAGCTTTCCTTAAGCTTATATAATACTCAAAGAATCAAAATCAACTTATAAATCCAAGAATTAAACAGCTGAAATTAAACTCACCTTTGCTCAACACGTTGGAGAAGAAGAAAGCAAGAAGAATAAGAGTTTTCCAGATACTCCTTCCCCTCCCACGTGTTTCTCTTCTTAAAGAGATAAAAAAATATCTTTTATGATAAATGACCACTTTGCCCTTAATTCATTTAATAATTACTAACAACTTTCTGAAAATATTCCCAAATAAATCATTGAACTATTTCATTCTTCTACTTTAATCACCAATTTCTGAAACTTTACAATTTGGTCACTAACCTAGTATTGAGGATGTTACAATGATTTTATGAGATTTACTGGACTATGCCTTGTTTAGTGTACCTATCATAATTTTATAGTAATGTTGGGACACACTGAGCCTAGCTCACTTTTCGAAATGTTTTCCCCTTTCAGATACTGTTGGTTAGATACCCCTGATCGAGCACTTGGAGGATCAACATATCTCTTGAAGTATATCTGAATGTAATGTTTTATCTTTTAAGTTGACTTTATTTTGATAACATGGACCTTATTTTAAAGTATTGGATTTTATAATGATTATTCTTTTGCTATTTATATTCGGTTTATCGTAATTTGGATTTTTAAAACATGTTTTAAATTAATTTGTTTCTTTTTAATATTATATTTATGAATTGGGGTTTTATAATATAATCTATTATAATTTCATAAATGTCATTTATAATGTGATTTTTCATTGATTGAATAATGGTTTTAGAAAATGTCTTTAAGAATAATGAATGTGATCCATTAGATTTAATCGAAACGCATAGGCTGGATCTAGGGGGTTACATTCAATGTTGAGAAAAGTTGCACATATTTTAAGTAGATTTTATTTATATGATGTTGACGGAATTTTTGGCTTGTTAGTGTTGTTGTATCGAAACTCTATTAATTTGGGAGTTTATTTCTCGTACTCATAATCTATGATGGATTCGTATTGTTAAGAGTATCTCAGATACTTGAAGAGATGAGCTCCTGCAAAAAAATGTAAGCATTTGCATACAAAGAATTGAGCCAAGAGTTCCACATTGACTCTCGTTAAAGTACACAACTTATACAGGCTGAGGTTCACAAAGTACTTCCAGAATAATGCGAGCAGGGATTGACTGAGGAGAGATTGTCGTTCTTAAAAATTTCATATATATTTTAAATATTTTAAATATTTTTTATTTAAAATTATTTTTATAAATCCAAAGATGCATGCTTGGTGATTAACCTTTGTGCTTAGAGACTCATGTTGTTGCGGCAACCGGAGCTCCAAGCTTCCAAGCGATCGAGGAACTGGTTGGACCCCATTTCGAATGCTTGGTTAGCTGATTAGCAGAGTTGACAGTTGGACTCGAATTTGAGTGGCAGTGGATTGATTAAAGGATAAAATGTTGTCGTTTGCAGATATGTAGCCTTAGTTAAAAGTGGACTGACATTCTTGAAAATATATGATAATCGTTATTATTCCTGACAATGTTAAAATCATATGTAATTAATATTTTTCATTTTCAGCCTTAGCTGTAAAGTCTAGTTTTGGGCAGCAGTGCAGGAACCAAGAATTCCTTTTTATTGTTGTTTTGACACACACTGAATTCCAAAGATTATAATAATTTACTCACCACCAAATGCGAATGTCGTCAGACTCAATTGCTTTAGCTTTGATTTTTGGTTATTTTATTATAGTTGAAATTAGTATTGTAGATGAGATAAGAAAAATAAAAATTAGTGGAGTTTATTTTGATGAAAACTTGATTAATATTTAATTAGATAAATTTGATTTAAATTTAAATTAAATTTTTAACGAATTAAAATAATTGTTTTACACTTAACATTAAAAAAAGTTACGAATAGATTAAAAATTTTATATTATTAATAATTTTAACATTGAAATTTTCATATATTTAATATTAAGATTTGAATTTAAGTTTCGGGTCGAGTTTAAAACGTCATATTATCCAATTATCTTTTTGAAAGATATCATTTCATTCAAACTGTCTTCTTTAGCACAATGTAAAAAAATCATTTGGAAAAATAAACTCTAAGACTTTTATTTCGATATTTTTCTAGGTTTAATATAAAAATAAATGTCTAAAATATATCTTTTTTTATATATATAGGTGTCTAAATTTTTTTGTCAATCCATGTGTCTAACGTTACAAGCTTTACCGTTTTAGGTATCTATGTCATGACCATCGTTAAAAAATTCTATTAAGTGTTATGTGACACGTTCTAGTAATTTTAAAAATTTTATTTTAAAAAACTTAAAATTATTATTATATATTAAAAAAAACTCTAATTTTTCTATATATAAAAAATAAAATCCTTAAAATCATCAACAAATCCTTAATCCTTAATCCTAACCCTAATTTCTCCATTCTAACCACAACTATCAACATCGTTGTCGTCATGCCGTCTCCATTGTCAATCGTCATTGCCCTACCGTTGTGGCTGCAACGAAGTCATTGGGTAGCTTCAATTTTGAGATTCTAGGATTATTTTTGTCTGTTTAAATCGTCAATTAGGGATTCTTTGGGTGACTGTGTCATTAGTGACGATTGGGATGAGTGGAGGTTCATTGATGCCAACAGTGGCGAATAGGAGTAGTCAGCGTGAATATAGAGATTGGAATAATGGTTTTTAAAATTTTAAGTTTTTTTTAAAGAATTTCAAAAGTTTTGAATTTTTTTTAAATAAAATTATATTTTTAAATTTTTTATTTTAAATATATATATTAAAATTACATTAACGTAATACGTGCCACTTAATGAAATTTTTTAACAACGATTACGGCTCAAACACCTAAAGTAATATCATTTGCACGTTAAAACACCTAGATTAATCGAAAAAAGATTTAAACACCTATTTAGAAAAAAAAAACGATATGATTTGATCATTTATTGTTATATTAAGCGATTGTTCTACTTTGCTGATTTTGCCAAATTAACTGAATGGTTCAGTTAACTTGATTTTAACCAACGCATACTCTATTACTCTCCCAGAAGTATTGTGACGATGCCAAATCTACAGTGAAACGTAAACAACACATACACAATAACAACTGCGTTTGATTTATTCACAAGTTATCATTAATCACAGTTTACAATTATAACCATGTATGGGAATGGAGTTGGGCATTGCATTCACCCTTTCACTTATTAACGGCAAATCTGTTCCTGTAGATGGCAAAGACCCATACCAATGGGACGAAAACTTAAATAGCATAAAGTAAAATAAGCTAAGGCCTGTAATCATTTGACTGTAAAAAGAAAAGCTTTGATACTCACGTTTGGTATTTGAGGTATTGATCAACTGTGAGAGATTTTGGTCCACCAAACCAGTTAATCATAAAGATGTCTTCGATCCCCAATTTGAAAACCCGGAAATCATGACCCTTAGGCCACCCTGTACACTCCAACCATTGCAAAATCGGTAAGTAGATTACTCGGACTCCAGTGTATTCATATCTAGATATTGCCGGATATGGGCACCCCAAAGTTAAATGAAATAATGGCAAACAACAGCAACAATTGTTTGGGATAAGATTTACCCTTCATCTCAGGATGCTTTGTGAACAATGCAGTTTGAGCAAATTCGGCCTCTTTAGAGTTTGCTTCAACTAGTACCAACTAAAAACACCATATGTGACATGATAAGCTCAATGGGGATGAAAGAAAACTGGATTTAGCAACGTACCTTTCCCGTGAGTGTGAGTTTTGCGCATGTAGGGCTTTCTGGGTCGGCATTGCCGCAAGTTCCGAGCGGATACTCACTGATTGTAAGTGAGGACCGCTGGTCTTTTAATGCATTTCTTGCTGTTGGATCAAGGGTTGTCAAATAGAAATACGGGACACCGGTACTTTTGCTGGGTACCCCATCACTAAACGAAACAACATTCCTGCAGGCACAAGCTAACGTTCTTGACATGTTCATACAAGTAGCTTTGAATACCAAATGTCTATCATGAAAATGAGATACCCACTGCATAATTTTGAGTCATGAATATTATCAGACGATTGCATGCAGGAGAATTGTAAACAAAAGCTCCAAAAAATATGAAAAACAGTGATCAGATCTCATTAAAATCTAATCCATACCAGTAAAACCACAGATTTGAAATAAGATTCAGATTATCCATGATCGTTTTTTTTTTTCTCTCTAGTTAATTTTGTTAATCTTGAAAACAATCCAAAATAATCAATGCCTCTGTTATTCCGACTCTTCCCTTCCCCTGAAGTACTTCGTCCAACATATATTTGACACCGGTAATGTATGTACAATCCTCCAAATATACGAAAAACTGCGGATATACACCTATATACGACACTTGCCCCAAGTTCAGATAACACAAATTACCACCAAATATCCCAAATACAATCATAAGTCAAAGAAAGAAACAATGTATTGAGCTTAAACATGAGGATTATCTTCATTGCATTACCAATACATAAATAAACATATTCAATATATATATATATATATATATATATATATATATATATATATATATGAGAAAAACTTACCCAAATGGTGACCCTTCCAATTCAATTGATATTGTGCTGCAAAATCAAAATGACAAATAAGGCAAACCCAAAACACCAATGTTTTCTTAGATTAAAGAATAATAATTCAACAACAGATATTATCAATGGAACAACATAAGTTCTGCTTCTTTTTTTAATTAATTTTTTAAATATATCTTTAAAACATGTATTATTTGGCCGTGGTTTAGATAATTATTCAACGATTAATCTTTGAGAAAAAGAAAGAAGCCAAAGCTTCATCTGCAGATACTTGAAATCATAACTTCAACAGTATCAATCAACTGGGTAATCTAATCAGACAATTGAAGAACAAGAAAACAAAACACAGAATCCAAATTACAAATTACAATCCCAAACCAAGCAGCAATTGCTTTTGTATAATAATGAAAAGTAAAAAAAATCAAAAGAGAAAGAAAAAATATTTACTTTAAAATCCCCCAAGAATTCTGAGACACCAACCAACGAGCATAGGCAGCAGCAGCATCTCTATCAGGTTTGGGTTCAGCTAATAACCTTCCATCAACGCATCCTTGAAAAAACAGGAAAATCAAGACCAAAACACAGTAAAAAAAGCCTTTGGTTTCCATTTTTTTTTGTATTTCTTTATGACTGTTTTTCTACAGAAGTAGATGAATATGAAGTCGACTCGACAGTATCCGTATTTATATAGAAAGTTTGGGACTTTGAAGACGAGTATGGGCAAAGGCAACGAATTTATCGCTGGAAGATAGGGGGTGTTTTAATCCTATGCTGTCGAGCACACGATATGAAACAATGCTATTGCTTGTTGTGATTGTACCTTTTGTCAAAGTCGTCAACTTTGCCCAATATTTACATTGCCTAATGCATCTACATGACTACGTCTATGGTAGAACATAATAATACAGTGCACTGATTTTACAAGATTGGGCACTTCAACTCGAGATAGATTTCAGGGTCCCAACAAAGCAATCAACATTGATCAACTTCAAAAGTTCAAAAAAAAAAAAACATTGATGAACTTCAACCCCACCGATCTTGAAAGGCATAATACAAATAAATACCTAATATATGTAATTTTTGTCTCTATTTTTTTAACATTTAACCCCCTCAAAATTCATTTTAGGTCAAAAAGTATCATCGTTTGATAAAAATTGTTAGTCAACTGACGGCCAACGTTTGAAATTAACTTAGCTAAAACATGTCGAAGGAAATACTGATGTGACATGCTCATATAATAGTAGATGATGACGTGATAAATTCACGTAGACTAAATGTTGATGTAGTATGTCCACGTGTGATGCCTGCATTAACAATTTTTTAAAATTAATTAATAATTATTTTTTATTAAATTAATAGCAACCAATCAGATGTTATCACGTGGTTGATGGATTTATTATTAAATTAAAAAAGGACCTCCACAAAATTTTACAACTCATGGGATTTGAACCTAGGTCTAAAGGTTAAAACCTTGATGCCTAACCACCAAACTAAGTCATTTGGTTATTATTAAATGGCTAATAATATCATTTAAAGTATATTGTTGTCATCAAAACCACCACTAACACAAGTATTATTTTTTAATTTTAATTAATTTTAAATTTATAAACTTTAAAAAAAATAAAAAATAAAATGATTTAATCTTTTAACACAAGCACTCCAAAAGCCACAGCAACACTCACACCGACTATAGCACCAACTTTATTCTTTGAACTTGAACGAGGAGTACTCGCATTTCCCGAGCCAGTAAGGTTGCCATCAGAATTGTTCAATTTCATGATTTCACGCCCATTTAGTATGGCATCAGGGGTAAACATCATGTAAATTCGATGGACCGCTGCTTAGTCGAAGCTTATTCGTCATGGCTGAATCTGTAACATAATCCATATAATATGCAGCAGCCAAAACATTAACCGAGTAAGTACTGAGATCAAGTTCCCGAACAACCATTGAGGAGTCGATGAAAACATTGAAATACAGCTGATTAAGAGAAGTGCTGACAATATCACAAAAATGAAACCTAACAAGGTACTGAAATCCCTGATCCACGTTGAATTCCCAGGTCACATTGAAGTTGCTATTAGGGTCGCCTAATAGGGTCGCCTAAGGAGTTCATCTTGGTGCAGGTACCATAAACAGAAGCTGGAGCAATCTCTGGTGTTGATCCACCATCAACATACTTAACAGATCTAATATTCGATACAGTTGAGGCAAGATTCTTTTCAATAAGAGAACTCTGATCAGGGACCCATGTCCGAGAAAGTGTATCGTTGTCGAAGGAGGCCATCGGTCCTCCCATATTCACCCTAGCAACAGTCCCTAGTGCCTGCCACATCAAGCCTTGGAACCCCATTGATGATTTAACGGTACGTACATCGTCCGGAATGAGCCGATCAGGGGCCGAAACAACTTCTAAAGCATTTATAAAAGTAAATGAATTCTCTGAAGGAGTGAATATGATGGTGAGGCTGTTGGTGGTTACATTAACAGAGAATTCTTTGACAAGAGGAACTCCAACACTGAGACTGCTGAGAAGGACATGGTTTTCAGTGGAAACATCGAACCTTGCCAAGCTCAAATCTTAACTAGCATAAACATATGGATAGAAATAAAGGCGAATCCAATGTCTTCCTTGCTGGCTGATAGAAAACGTATACTCAGATACACCGGTAAAGATCTTCGCTGTTCGATAGAGCCGTGAAACAGCTGAAGGGGTAATAGATTTTGAAGTGTTCCCAACAACACTTCATGTGCAGAAAGGAATTTAGAGGCTAAGTCATCAGCCATGAAAACTCGACCACTTACTGTGTTATTAGTAACTGATCCACAATCAATAAGCTAGTTGTCTGCAGGTTTAAACCCTATAGCAGAGCATGCCAAACACAAGACTGAAGAAACCCAGAAAAGCAATTCAAACATCTTACAATCCATCTTTGCAAAATCCAAGGAACTAACAGAACGCTAAAGTTTGAATCTTTTTTGTGCTTAACAGGCACCAAAATCCTGGGTTCTTAGAGAAACAACTGGTAAATAGCAAACAATAATAGAAATAAAAAAAACCAACCAAGAGATCTTAATAAGGGAAGACAATACCCGGGAAAAATAGCAGAGGAACTGAATCAAAGAAATGAAAGATGGAACCTTTGAAGTTCAGAGAAGATGAGAGGAGCCCCCTGACTCAAAAATGTAATCTTTTACGCAGTTATTTGGGAATTTAGCAGAGTTTCCATTGATACACGCCTAGTTTTTTTTCTTTTCTTTTCCATTTTTGTTCATATGTTCTTAAATAAACAGGAAACAAATAGTCTAAAGGTGGTGAAAGAAATATATAAATAAGCAGCACAAATAATAATGTCACGCCCCCAGAACTTCGACGCCTCACACCGTCGGAATATCAGAGTCAAGGTCTGACGGGTCGTGCGGCCTTAGACGCTTTAGACGCTCCTCGGTCTTCTCGGCGACTAAGTAAGCCTTACCCAAGCTAAGTGAGTGTGCAAACTCACAAAGGTTGGAACCAAGCCCTCAAGGCTTCGGATTGCGGAAGCTTTAGAATGCCGACAAGGTCGGACTATCGTGTGGAAGTGCTAACACGAAGGTGGCTACTCCTGGCCACCAAGCTAGGCAACAAGAACAAAGAAACTAAAGAACTCAGAAAGAATAGAGCAAATGCCTCAGAGCTTTATTACTCTCTCACAAAGAGAAGAATGGAATTGGGTGATTACAAATGAGGAGGAGAGCTCTCTATTTATAGTGGAGCTCCCTCTCAATCGATGGCTAAGATCGTTTTACATCAACGGCTATGATTTGCCCAATTAATGACAAATCCCCTAAATCAAGGAATTACAACCAAATCCTTCCTAATTACATCCATTAGTAGGATTCTTTCCTTGGATAGGTGTTCACACTGGATATGGTAAGATTTTCCCACAATATCTTCCTGATTTTGTTGCCTCTTGCCATATTTACCGAGCTTCTGTGATCATCTTCAGATATGATGCCACTTTCCTTTTCTGTACGGCCAATGTGAACGGACTCCATAGCATTCTCCAAGTGATGGGCCAAGTCTGGTGGCTTTGGCAAGCCCGATAACTATCTTGAGATTCCCTTTCGGACTCTTGCACCAATGTCTTAGCAAGCCCGATCTTCTGTCTTGAACCTCTCTGTCGGACACTTGCACCAGTGTCTCGGACCCAAGTTCCTAGCCCGTGACACTCTCCCCCACTGAACTTAGCGACGCCCTCGTCGCTGCACTCAACGATCCTGGGCAACACCACTTTGGATACTTTTCCTTGCCTTGGCTTGTTGCGGTCCTCCCATACGAACTGCTTGCCTTGGCTTCTGCCGCATGTAACTTCACGATCCCTCGCGCCATATTTCAAATCAACTTGGTTGCCTTTCGACGCCTTCGCTTGCTCATGTCCCCCCATAAGGACTCAGCCTCCCATAATGGCTGTGCTCGCTTCGGCTCTTGCCGCCATGTGATGAAACGGGCTAACACGCCCATAAGTGCATCTCTTCCGTAGGAACTCCTTCCTACAAGTCTTGATTTGCCTCGACTTGGACCTCCTTGTCCCTTGCGGCAAAGTCTTGGATCCCATCCAAACTTTGTTCCTTCCGCGTTAAGAGTTAGGTCTTGCCCGACCTACACTCACTTAAAATTGCAAATCAAGCTCACAAGAACACAAGAATAGTGTTGAGATGTACCTTCCCCTCTGATTTAGTTGGCATTTGCTCAAATTTTTGCGTCAGCCCTTCTTGCTCAATGAAGTCTGACACTCCCCGCATTGAACCCTTGTCATTGGAGTTCTTTGCGCCATCCTGCATCGGCACTTTCTCGCGGAAAAGTCCGATGCCCTTCCTCGCATCCTCCCTTCTAACATGAAGGGTGGAGTTCGCTTCCCACCTTTGAAATGGGTGGTGTTTCCACGGTTGCCTTGTCCCTCAACGTCTTGGCCTCCTTCGACTCTTGTCTACGAGTCTTTGAAGGATTGTTCCTCTCTTGAACATCCTCGGCAAGCCCTTGCTTCGACTCCTTGGACATGGACAACTTGGTCTGCCCTTGGCCTCTACTCGCTTTGGCAGAAATGAACCGTATTGAGCCAATCCTCAGTGCCCCTTCGATCCTTGGTTCGTCCTCTTCTCTGGACAACTCGATCCTGGGCTCATCCGTTACCTTGGATGACTCGGTTCCCCTTGGGTAATCTTGCAATCCTGCTGGCACCTCAAGTTTGCGCCCCCTTGTTTGCTCGGCTCTTACCCTCGGCTTAACATCTGTGTCACTTGAACTAGTGCACACATCATCCCCAGATTCCCCATCTGGTTCATCATTGAGTGGACTTTCCCTACCACTCGAGGAACAACATTCATCATCCTTCGACTTGCCTTCATTGCGGGATCGCTTGCCGCTACCTTCGGCTCTCGGCTTTGGTTTGGAAGTCTTGTTCTTCTTGACTCCAAACTCTTTGATGGACTCCACGGTTGTCAAGGCTTCAGATAGCTCCTTGACTTCCCTTTGCTCCAACGCCCTCTTTGCCCACGGCTTTAATCCGAACATGAAGGTGAAGAATCCTTCTTCGTCAGTCAAACTTGGGACTTTGAGCATGAGTCTTCTGAATCGGCTCACATACTCCTTCAGTGTCCCCTTATGCCTGAGGCGCCTCAACTTGGACCACGCCTCCATCCTGGCATGTTGTGAGCGAACCTGCTCACTTTGTACCCTCGGCTT